GAAGAGCAGGGTTAACCTGGCTGGGGCTGGAGCAGTACACTGACCGTGGCTTCATGTGAGGAAGTTGAGGATTGCTCATTATTTCACTGTCAATGAATCAACAGATTTAATATGGATAAGGTCTTCGGTGGCAAATACTTCAGCCCGGAGCAATAGGAGACTACGACATTGTTTCCTTCCTGAATGTTACATACCGGATAGCCTGCTGACCCCTGATGAGATGGACTGTGTGTGTTGCAAGGCACACAGAACTGCCAGTGCTTATCCCAACATGTGTTTCCTGTATGGGAATGCTTAGAGTAATGCAGTATGCTTACAGTAAGTGTGCGTGTGTGCATGTGTGAGAGTGCGCACAAGCAAGACAAAAAAGAAGGAAAAGGCAGAGAGAGGGAGAGAGCAAAAGCATATCCAAGGGGATCAAACCGAAACCACAGGATATTTCTGACCTTGAGGGCGAGTGGGTAAAGCTGGGAGGGTGGGGAGAGGAAAGAGGGGAGGAAAAGAAAAAGAGAGGAAAGCTGAAGGAAAGGAACAAAGAGATGGAGGGAGCGAAAGCGGGGAGAGGAGACTTTGCAGGGCAGCTGGAAAACCTCCAGAATCCTCTGCTCAAACCAACCATAAAATTCCAACTGAAGCCTCAAAACCAGTATGAGGACTGACGAGGGTTCCTTCTGCCCACAGTTTGTGTGTTCACATTTGTGTGTGTGTGTCTGTGCCACGCACACATTTACTTGTGTGCGTGCCATATGTGATTAAAGGGTCTGAGCAGAGGAGGCCAGGAGGCAGACGAGTGATGCAATCCATGGAAGCAAAGTAGAAGACACCAGGGCGGCAGGAAGGAAGGGAGGGAAGAGAGGAAGGAGGAATTGTTGCTTCTGGGGATCCAGCTCTCCAGGAATGTGCTGACGGTTGTGGCCCACACAGTCGGGGAGTGTTGCATTCTGGAAAAAATTCTGCGGAGGTGATAGCACCTGTTTTGAGGCGCCGCAGATCGCAAACGGATAATAAAATCGCACATTATAAAAGGGATAGACTGTGTGAGTCATTATTGTTAATTTTCAACGACACAACAAAGCTTTTTTTCTGTGCAAACTGGTCTCTCACACTGCAAGCTGAAGGCCTGATTGCACCCTCACGCAGCAGCGGAGGTCTATTTCGGTACAAGCTACACAATGTCCACAAGCACCCACACAGGCTCTGTGGGTAACGTGATTGGTAAGCCTGGGCAAATAGTCTATTTATGAACATCGTAAGAGTGGGCAGTTGTCCTTGAGCTGGTTTGTCTGCCGTCTGAAGTGCTAAGTGCTGTATACAGTTACAATAGATAGAACATTCACAAGGACAAGTAAGGTGGAGAGTGGGTGAGGAGGGGGGAGCTGAGAGAGTACTGGGAATAGAGATGGTGAGTCAGAGGCCATTTGGAAAGTAATTTCATCTCTGAATGCTGTATATCTTTTCATCAATGAAAGGAAAGTATTTTCCAAACCAGGCAGGCGCAAGAAGAAAAAGATCTCTGTTTGGTGAAATGGAGCCTATTTGAATGGGAGAGGACAGGCACGATTCCTTTTGCGCTGTATTTCAGAAACTTAACGTTGTTTGTTACAGTACACCGCATTGAGGATCTTGGAACGAACCTACAACAGCCCACAGCTACGGTTGTTGCTTATTGAGGGATTGGATATGGCTAAACGCTGGCATGGTAATGTGCCCCTAAATGATGAGCAGGGTTTAATTTTTTTTCATGTAGTACACTATGTACAAGAGCATACTTACTTGATTAGTTTGTACATTTTGACAGGTAACTTTTGTCACAAACTGAAGAAGTACTGCGCTTATCAGACAATTGCAACAGGATTACTGTTATTTTGCTGGCTGATGTTAACTTGTCAAGCATCTGGCAACAAATGCTAAATAGACTTAAATACTTTAACACACATAAACCCCAGAACACGTGCAATACTTAATTGTAATACAATGTAGCAAATGACTGAAGCCACTGTCTGCGCAGTGATGGTGATGTAGTTACTGCAGTCAGGCTATGCATGTTACAGCATAGGGTTTCAAAAGGGTTATTATGCAGATTAACACAGAATTATAAATCCCCTGTAATGTGTATAGGTAGCTAGCACTAACAGTCTGGCAGTATATTAATCTCCTATTGGCTAAAAATCTACTATTAAACCTACCTAAGTTTGGATGGTATTAAGAGTGGATTCATCGGCTGGGCACAATGGATATCTGTGCCAATTTTACTGAAAGCCATCAAACACATTTGAGATACTCATACTATAGACAATGCCATGCCTGGAGCCACGGTACGAGTATGACTAAGGAATGAGCATTTTTTTGCTATCGTATGAACCTATCTGGCCTTCTGCATAAACCTTAAGTCTCAGCACTCATGACCAAAAAAACAAAAACAAAAAGTATCACATTTCCTCATTATGGCATGGACAGTCTTCTGCAATTTTTGTGAATCATTGGTCTCATATGTCTTGATGGTACATTGTGGTTTTAGAGGTTCCAGTGATATTCTGGACTAGCTAAATGTGGTCTGGCATCCAGCCAGTCAAAAAAAGGAAAAGAAAAGGGAAAAAGGAGAAGGGTGTTGGGTTGAAGTGTTAGACGAGAGTACCATAGACAGGCCTGGGCTGCTGTGTGTATCCTGGCAAAGCAACCTTGGCCTTGACACGACTGCACAAACATGTACAGTATTTGAATCCTGACCAGATTCTTACTTACATAACTGCCGGTGGAAGAGTTGCGCTCATTTACTAAAACAAGTGAAACAGCTCTGCAAATTTTCATAAAATCAAGAAAGTGCACAAAGTAGGAACAAGCCATTGACAAAAAAGCATTGGTATCTTAATTAAAGAAGTATGTTTTTAGTTTGCAGAGTTCACTGACTGGAGGGGAAGGGAAAGACACCACAGAATACTGAGTTGGACCGGTTTGTGTTGGTCTGGCATCAGCTTTGTGGTAAATATGGGCAAGCACAAAAAGAATTCTGCGGTTATTCTTGGACCACCACTGTCCGCACTTCCATGTAATGTTCGGCTGTTTACCATCACTGGTTCAATTCATGTGCTGGGATTCTGAGTCAACAAACCCCACTAAAGATCTGCAGAGAGGTCCTGCAAGGACACAAACTGGCTTACCCTTCACAGCATCCAAATTAAAGTGTTTGTACAGTCCAGCACACAAGCCTAGCCCAAACATAACCATCACAATCCAACTCCCTGAATTCTACTGTTGTGTTTTTTCTTTTTCTTTTTTTTTTTTTACAGTGTGTGCGCACTCTGTAGCCTCAAATTAAATCTGCCTTGGCTCTCACTTTTGCTTTTTCACTCACACAGTGCACATTTTGTCGTGTTGTTTGTGCGCTGTGGAATGTCAGCACTGGTATTTTCAGTCGTGTGGAGGAGTCTGCCCATAGCAGAACAAACAGCCCAAAAGTCGGCGCAGTGTTTTGTTTGCTGAGCCCATCACCTTTCAGCAGGCTTTTGCACGTCACCTTCTTCTCTGGCAACCTAATGTGGGAATTTAATTTGTTACTGGAAGAACCCCTGGCTACTAGGCATGCCATAGTCTAGCAACATCTGACACCTTGACTGAATAACACAAACTGCACTGGAGTAAAAAGTCAACCAGTATCAGCTGAAAGTAGATCAGATAGTCTTGTTTTTGCAATGACTGTTTGACCTTTTGTTATTTCAGCGATGCAGCATGTGTTCATCCTCTTGATTACAGATGTCAACCACTGATGACATGTAGAAACAGTTCATCTATTTTTCTACCCAGTCTTCATTCTGACAAAGCCTCCTGTCACATCATAAACCACAAATACTGAAGTGCCCTTCATATTTACCCTTGACTATACCACAAACCAGAATCTGCTTAACTCTTTACTGTGCTACACAGGAACAATGATAGTGCGACTTAGACATAACCACCACGATTGCTTAAGCTATTCTTTTATCATTTTTGTAAAGCGGCTTCTATAAACAGAAAACATTTATATAGGTCTTCTAGGCTGACTGAAACCTTCATTTAGATAAGCCTTAAACAACAAATGTGCTCGCAAGCTCAAAGTGTAAAATGCATATATGTCTTCTCATTATTTTCCACAAAGTAATCAGTTTCTCATTAAACTCTCGCTCCCCCCCCGCCCATGCTAATACTTTACACAATATTAATATCTATGCAAATACCTTTAATTCCCATCAGCCTGCAGTTGCAGATTATCACAAATGCAGATGTTTTGTGTATTGTAAGGACCTGTTGTATGAAAACGGCGATCTGTAGAATATAGTATATATAGTAGGAAAGCAACCAGAACCAGGTGAACACAGTGTTCCAGGTCAGAGCTAAAGCCTCCACAGCGCTGCACACAGAGAGCAGCATGAGTCACCGGAACAGAGAGATTGCTAGCTTGCAGAATTCATTAAGACAAATGTAATGGATTTCCTCTGGAAGGAAAAAAAAACCTTGGCAGCTGCAGAACAGCACCCCAGTGAATCCTCAAGTAGGTTTCCATACACCTTTGGAATGGCAGCATTTTGCAACCCTGCAGATGATATATGTTTGGTCTGACTGTAAATGAATTAGCTTAAGTCCTTCAGCATGCTGGCCTGTTTTACCTCGGTACTGGTATTCCCTCTGCAGCACTAAACTATTACACTGTATACAGTCCATGATATTATACAGGGAAATTATTTGACATCATAGAAGGCTGCCACGTGATACTAGCGACCAGAAAGCGAGCTACATTATAAATTAAAGGCACTCCTGAAAACTGTCCAGCCCTAAAAGACTGCAGACTGTACATAATGCATAAACACAAAGTGCTTTTTAACCCAACACAAGCGGCGTATAGCGCGTTGCTGTCCTACTGTGCCATGCTGCCACCATGTGGGTGCTAGGAGTAATGTTTTCATAAGCATTATCTTCTATAGCGATTAAGAGTTACGGTAACACGGGGACTTGGCTGTCATTGTTCTGTAAGCAGTTTATTTCACACAAAATAAAGGCAGTTGCAGTAGCATGAAGACTGCAGTATCCTATTGATTAAGCAAATGGACAGTATTTTGGCGCAAAGGTAAACCGATATAAAGTGCTATCTAGCTAAATTAGCACAACAGTAGTCACGGGTGAACAAACGCTCGAACACCGTCTAGTTTTAGATAAGGTCCTGCGCTTATAGTCAATAACCCGACACAAAACGACCCAGAAACAGCAGCTGTACTCAGCAAATTACGATTTTAAACGCGACTGCAAAATAAAGACTGATCCCAAATCAGTCTAAACGGCACCGGATGTCGGCAAAGTAAAGAGACAAGTGCCGTTTTCGTGAGTGACTTGTTCCAGGAAGTGCTCTCCGCCGAGTAGAGCATTTCTGAAGGGCTGCCATTTTACCGAGTTTACGGTAAGAAAACTTGCTTCGTTTCGCTGTGTATATTGCTGGCTGCTACACTGCGTGCAGCGTGTCGTGCTACGATGTTGTGTTACCAAAGAAACACACATTAGTTACATACGAAGTGCTAATTTTTTTGTAGCTAACCTAGCTTGTTTGCCACAGTGCATGTGACGCTGCTGTTAGCATTTGCTGTCAGTGAGTGGTATCGAGACAAAACCACAAACGTGTTACATTTAAATCACTTTAAGTAATTATATGTAAGTTTTTCTGACATCGGGGTCATTTTAAGGAACTCGCTGAGCATTTACTGCCCTCTAGTTAATTATTAACTGCCAATTCCCTATTATTGTGTTCATCTCATTTCCTAATAGACTAAATGTCACTTTAACTGCTGTAAAGTTAGCCTCTTCTAACGATGGCTCAAGCTAATGTAGATTTAAGCCGGTATAGTCTTTTCATAGCACATACACAAATGTCAGTGCTGAGTAACAAACCCAGCCAATTACAGCTCATGTTTTTCTCAGGTGCCCGAGTGAACGATGGGGAGCAAAGCGGTCCAGCTTACCTCAGGCTCGCATCATGAGCACATTCTGGCTTCTCTGCATGACCTGAGGCTGCAAGGTCAGCTGAGTGACGTCACCGTGCAGGTGGACTATGAGGGAGATGTGGAGGAGTTTCATGCCCACCAGGTGATGCTTGCTGCATCCAGTGGCTACTTCAAGAAAATTCTGCTGTCTCCGCACGCATCTCGTGATAAACTGTCTCTCTCAAATATGCACTCGGAGGATTTCTCTGCATTTCTGGAATTTGTGTACACCGGTAAAGTTGAAGTTGCCAGACACAAGATAGGTAGTGTTCAAGCAGCGGCAGAGTTTTTGGACTGTGATGATCTGCTGAAGGTTTGCGGCGAAGCCATAAGCGCAGAAATGATACAAAAGCCCACAAAGAAAAGCTCAAAAGTTGTGGCTCCAGATGATGTGCATGGTGCTCAAAAAGAAGAAAAGGCAAACGGGAAGAGGCATCGTAGAAGCTTGCTGGTTAAGCGGCAGCTGTCTCCACATAGGCTGGTGACAGAAGTCACTTCAAAAAGATTCAAGGCAAAGAAAACAGTGAGGGATGAAAAAAGGCGGGGAAGAAAGCTACAGGTAAAACCGTCTGGCAGTAAGGTGCAACAGAGAGGCGTTTGTACTAAAATAGTGCCTTTAAACATCAAAAATCAAACTATTGATAAAGATGGAGAGGAGGATGGGAGCAGGACTGAAGATAAAGCTGAGCCAGAGAAAGAAAAAGCCAAAGAAGACGAGTGTTCACTGGGAGACCCTGCCTCTGATGGGGATGACTGGGAATGCGAGGACGATGCGCAGAGTAAGGATTCTGAAGACCCGTTGTTTTTACCACCCGGAGAGGAGGAGGAGGATGAGGAGGAACAATCCAAGCAGACTTTAAAACAATCATCCAAGGCCCAGTTCCAGTGCAACAAGTGCCAGCGGACTTTCCACTATGAGAAGAGCTACTTAAAGCATATCAGGTAACATGATAATAATGCTTTAGCTCTAATATAGCTGGAATTATGCACTGCAACGTACAGTACAGTATGTGCATTATATCATAATGTACATGGTATATATTTTTAAATAATGCTGCAACTTGTTGGTGTCTTGGTGAGTACGTACCATGGCGTGAAAGCAGATGTGGTTTATCGCTGTGAGACCTGCTCGCAGACCTTTGCAAACCGCAGCAATCTGAAGATCCACGAAAAGCACGTTCACAGTAACGAGAGGCTCTTTGTCTGCGAATCCTGCAACAAGACCTTTAAGCGAAAGAAGGATGTCGTCCGCCATCAAAGACAGGTGAGGACCGGTAGAATTTCTAACAGCCATATTAATGTTATTTTAATGATAAAAAGTATTAAATTTGTAATAATCCAATTTCTGTGAGAGTCACATTTTTTTATGTGGAGTTTCTGTCGCGGCTGCTTAGGTGCATGAACGCAATCTGCGACACATCTGTCCTGACTGCGGGAAATCACTCAGCTCCAAAACTGCCCTGTTGTTGCACGAGAGGACACACACAGGCACAAAACCCTATGAGTGTACTGACTGCGGGGCCAGATTTACCCAGAACTCTGCCCTCAAGATGCACCGCAGGTACGGAGGTGGTTAAATAAAGCCTCGGGGTAGGGGTGGGCCTGCAAAAGCAAGAAATTGACCGAAAGCTTTTAATCTTGGGAGAGTATTAAGGGGGTCATTTGAGTTATTCTCTTTATAGTGAATCCTTTGATATTAGCATCCCGCTACTTAGTCATGAAATGCATCACCTTCAGCCTTCCTGGAGAACAGTATGCTAAATTAATAGCTCAGACCAGGCATCTTTATATATAGACTACTTTCACCAGAAACAGCTGGAACATCAGGCTGAAGGTGCTGCCATCAATTGGAGATCAGGCACGAGAGCCTCCTATGTTACTTTACCGTCAAAGAACAACTGGACTGTTTTTTTAATGGCAGTTCTGTGTGTTTGGTGCATCCTACATGTTTATGTAGTGTATGTGTAAGCAGATGATGAGGTTTAAACCTGTGTGTTTACACATGTGTAGGACTCACACAGGAGAGAAGCCATTTGCATGTGATGAGTGTGATGCACGGTTCACTCAGAAGCACATGCTGGCCTACCATAAGAGATCGCACACAGGTAAAACCATAATTGAACATTAATAACTAATCAGATTTGAGCATTGTCATCAAGAGCATGTTTCATCTTGTCATTTCTTTACATTTCTGTGCTTTGGTCATTTTTGGCATTACAGACCTGTGGGAAGAAAAGAAAAAGAAAGTTTTCACATGACTTTATGCAGTATGTTAAAAACTAAATACACCCCATGATTGAGTAGCTTGTAAGCCATCTTTAGCGGCAATACCTTGAAGGAATTGAGCTCTGCGTGGCTTTATCTGTCTTTCATTGTGTTGTGGAGGAATTTTGGCCCTCTCTTCTTTGCAGTGTTGTTTCAGTTCATTGAAATTTGCTGGCATTTATTTATGCACAGCTCTCGTACACTCCTACCACAGCATTTGCGTCAGGTTGAAGTCTGGACTTGGGGCCATTGCAGCAACTTGATTCTTTTAATTTAAAGTCATTCTGTTGGAGATTTGCTACTGTGCCTAGCATCGTTATCCTGTCCTGCATGACCCATTTTCAGCCAGCTGTTATCTGTCAGACAGATGGCCTCACATTTGACTCTAGAATACTTTGGCATACAGAGGAGGTCAACTGAATGACTGCAAGTTGTCAAGGTCCTGTGATTGCAAAACATCACTCCTCCACCATCGGGCTGGAAAGTCAGTATTGTTTGTTTGTTTTTTGCCAAATGTGCCACTGTGCATTATGGCCAAATATCTCAATTTGTCACCTGGTCTGTCCAAAGGAAATTGTCCCAAAAGTCTCGTGGTTTGGTAAGATCCAACTTTCCAAACCTAAGTTGTGCTGTCCTGTTCTTTTTTTTTTTTTTCCTCGTAGTGCCCAATAAACTTTAAAATTTAACATCCTGGGTTTTTTGCATTGCATCTGAGCATTGCACGATTTGAGTTTGAGTTCAGTTTGTTTGCACATCCAGACCAGCAAACTACCAAAACATCTGCTTTTATAGAGGTGCTCATGCTTGCGGATGATCAGCGAATTAAGTACATTTGATTAGCAGCACCTGGCATTAGCATTAATGGCTGTTTTCTGATTCATGAAGTGTTAGGTTTTTAAAAAATACCCTCATTAAAATATCTTGAAACAGCTAATCACCTGAGGATGCTTCGTGGGGATGTGTTACAGTTTTTATCCTCTGCGCCTATAGTTTCTCCCTTAAAGCTCATTGGAGATTATTTTTTTGGTCTATCTCCACAAACAGTATTTCTTAAAGAAAAAGTCCTGAAGTGTGAGCACACTAAAAACAAAACTATGTACACATACAAGACCATAACTTTTTGTTCTCTCGTGTTAGGAGAGAAGCCATTCATGTGCGAAGCCTGTGGGAAAAGCTTTGCATCTAAAGAATACCTGAGACACCACTCAAACATCCACACAGGCTCCAGACCATATAAGTGTGAAACTTGCGGTAGAGGCTTCGCTCAGAGGAACTCTCTCCACCAGCATTTAAAAATACATACAGGTGAAATGTAGATGTCGTTTTTCATTTAATAGTTATATTACATTGAATTTATAGGTGATTTTTCATTAATCTCTTCCTCAATATTTTTTGATATTTTCTTGTTTCTTTGGTGGTTGTCAGGCGAGCGTCCGTACAGCTGTAAAGACTGTGACAAACAGTTCACTCAGCTCAACGCACTGCAGAGGCATCAGCGTATTCACACAGGAGAGAAGCCCTACATGTGCGGCCTCTGCAAACGCACATTTACAGACAAGTCCACCCTACGCAGGCACACTACGGTGAGCAATACTTCTTAGAAAAAGTAGTTTCACCTACACGGGTACAGAGTTTGTTTAACTTGTATTGTGGCAGGAGCTGAAGTTCCCGTATTTAGAAAAAAAGACACATAAGCTGATGATTTTTGGATTTTTTTGTATAGTGATTGTAGATCTTAAAAAACAGAAAAAAGAAAGAAACCTGCACTGACTGCTGCAGAAATAACATCGGATTCTTTGACCTTCAGATTCATGACTCAGATGCTCCGTGGAAGACATACCTGGTGGTGCTGGAGGGAAACGTGGAGGAAAAGAAGCCCAGATCTCCTACTAAGATAAAGACAGAAGAAGCAGGACCAGGAGAGCATAAGAGCACGCCCAGGAAAAGTGCTACAACTGCTGCTGGCGATGCTCCTGATGCTGGTGGTAAAACCCACACCGACTCCATTGTGATTCCATCTGAGCCAGTCAGTGTTCCTGCTGAGTGGCTGACCAGTCACGGAGCCATCGCTCTGGTCAGCCACAGCACTATCGGCGGGATCACCGTTATCCACACGGATGTCACACCAGGGACTCAGATCCAGCCCATCGTAGCCACTGACAATACAGGGACCAGTGTCATTTCTTTAGATGGGTCAGCCATCCCTGTTCCCTTCCCTTTACCAGTGTCCATGGCTCACTCTGTCCCCTTGTCCTCTGAAGCGCCCTCTACTTCTCTGTCTGTACCCACTCTCTCAGTTCCTGTTTCTGAGGGGTTTTTAGCATCAGTCTCACAGATCCCAGGAGTTTCGACATCATCTGTGCTGGAAGCTGCAGCTTCGCAAACTATTTTGGCTCCAGTTTCAGACTCTAAAGCCGCTTCAGATACTGAACCTCCCGACCCCAACATTCAGACTGTGGTTATTGGTGAGAATGATTGTGGGAGAAAACAGCCAGTATCCAAAGTGAAGAACAAGAAAGGACTAAACTGAGACCTCAAAATAAGATGTGTGTAGGGGGTGAATGTAAATAGCTTATTTTACTGGCTTTGGGGAGTTTTTAAGCCGTCTCAAATCAAATCATGCTACCTTATGTGTATTCTTTGAGTTTTTCACTATTATAATTATCTGAGTTCTGGTGTTTCAGGAATAGCGTTAGCACTTTTTGTTTGGCATTTCAATATCACAATATTAAACTTTAGAGGTGAAGCTAAAGTTTAATCTGACACAAATCCCAGTGAATACAAATGAAGTGAAGATTGTAATCAATTACACATGTTCAAAAGCATGGTTTAGAATATTTTACAACACTTTTGTATTAATTACAGAGAAACGCTCTGCATATAAAATACTGCAGCTGTGAAACAGCAGCAACGAACTTTTGATCATTTAATCTAACTGTGAACAAAATTGCTTAAGTCCTTCAAAATCCTGGCACTTGTCTCTGTTTGAAATTGTCCCTCGGCCTCCTAGTACGCACAGCTAAGGCATCAATTTCAAAAATATGTCACCTTCTTGTTTCGCATTCACAAAATTTTCAGAAAACTTAACCTCTGACCCTGAGGTCACTGAGAATAAAACCAGTCTGAGATTTTATTAGATACACTTTTGGTGTTATTTTGAAAATCCTACGTTGCCTTGATCTCGAGTTATCGCATTCACAAAGTGCGGTGTCCACTTGCCTGCCTGACGACATCAGCCTTTTACAACAGAGGGGTAAAAACTATTTAACAGAAAACCTTGAATAAGAAAAACTAGTTTAAGCTTCTTTTTTTTTTTTTAAATAGAAAACAAAATGCTATCATTTACATGTAAAACTTTGTCATGATGACACACACATGACAGATGAGGCCAGAGTACAAATAATATTCAAGATAAGCTAACCTGCTTGAGGTAACACCAAAGGCAACAACAGTATGGGATATAATGCCTTTATTAATTTCCATTTGCACAAGCATACTGATCAAATCCACAGCCCACTGTTATCCCAACTGGAAGAAGCTGGGTACACGGGGCAACTGACCCTTTAGTAAACACTTTGGTCTGGCTAACAATAGTGAAAGTACACAACACTGAACTATACACAATGACATGCTTAGCGACTGGCCATTTGCAAGGTTTACAGTGCAGTAGTAAACCTTCTATGATACGTTTACAGCACATAATGAGTGACTAATGATGCTCATCAGCACAGGATTACAGCCCTGGGTATAAGAAGTAAGGAGATCTGTGTCAGTGCTTTTCATTCAACAGTACAAACTCTAAATCGCAGCTTCAAACATTCAAAGTATCATTAAGTTGACAAATCCTAACGTAATCATAAACAGCAGTAATAAAATTACCTATAAATGTATAACAGTCTACACTTAGTGCATATCATTACCCTCCCTGTGGTGATAAAATGGAAGCTAAATAAGAGTTTGTGGATGTAATAAATGAATTTTGCTTTAAGATCTTTCTGTTTCCATCTCAACAACACAAGCTAAGATAATGGTACATTCTTTAAATTCATACAAATAATGAGAAACATTACATAATCTGTTTAAATATACAATAAACTAGATTTAAAAAAAAAGAAAGAAAGAAGCTGCATCTGACTAGTAAACAATAACTGTACAAAACATGCAATATTTCTTATCAGTACTAACTTCAAAACAGAATACACTGCTCTGAAATCCCCCAGGACAGATTTCAAGAGAAAAATGTATGCAGCAATCCTCTAGACAGAGGTGAGGGCGAGAGGATTTACATTCTGACCAGATTCAGACACGCTGAAACAAAGACAGTGCTCTGAAAGAACAGCAAGTGAACAGTGAAATATTGAAAAATCATCAGTGGACACTCCTCTCCAGACGCTATACACAGTGAGGGGAGTGTAAGGGTGTGTGTTGGTTTGTGTGTTTGAAAGCATGCGTGATAAACTTTCCCTCCGTGCTGCGTTTCTACCCCGAGGTGTCTTTCATTTCAGATCCCCTTCATCGCCCTGGATGGTCTTTTTGATGCGCAGCAGGAGGGTTGTGTGCCACTGGTCCAGACGTGAGATTGAGTCAAACTCCTTTACCTGCATCAGAGAGACAAGGACACACACAATAAGTGTTTCCTGCTTCAAATTAGGATTCCAACTAGAATGCTTTGCATCACCAGCACTCTATCAAAAGTGGTGCATTCTCACAAACAAGATCCTTTTTAGATGGTCCTTTATGTAAAAGGCTGTACTCCAAAAATAACCATGGTGCCTACCTATTGGTTTGTGGATGCCTGTTTTGAAGCCTTGCCTGACCATATTTGTACAACTACAAACTATCCCAGAGAAGTAAAGCAAGTGTGTAAGTTCATCTCTAAATGTTTTAAAGCATTCCCACGTTAAGCTTAACAACCGATATATGGAGCGACTGCCTCTTCTTCTCCCCCCCTCCCTCTCCTGTTGCTACTTCAATCATGAAACTGATCAATGATCAGGCGATCGGCTCTCTTGTTTGTTTATCGCCCACTTTGCTCCAGAAAAAGGAAACCAGCGGATGTCGCGCTAAACAACAGCAGCACGTTTAAGCTTGATAAGCTGTTGTTAGAATGTATTTAATATTACTTTCTACACCAGGATCCTTTTCTACGTAGCTGACGGCTGGTAACTGTGCAGGGGCGGGTCTAGCAAAGTTTTGCCAGGGGGGCAGGTAGGGCATTAACAGGGAAAATTCTGTTGAAGAAAAATGTTGAATCTTTTTAATTATTGTAGAAAAAGAATTGATTTCTGTGCATTTGTTTTACACATATATCAAATTAAAGTTGATTACATCGATTAAGCATCATGAGGCGGAGGGTGGGGGGTGATTCCCCATATTTTTTTTGTTGGCAATCCCATTAGTTAGGTTGTTTAATATTTCCGCCAAGTACTCTTTAAAATACCAGAATAGAGAGGATGGTGCAGGTTTAAGTTTATTAGACTGATCAGTGTTGCTGAACTATGAAATAGTGTATTTTTTGCATTAAGGTATAATAGAATAGCTTTAGTGTTTTATTTTTTAAAACTTGAGTATGAACTTATACAAAATGCAGCAAAATATAAAAAAAAAAACACCAGTTTTATTGATTCTAAAATACACTATATCAGATTCATATCGGTATCGGCAGATATCCAAATTTATCGGTATCGGACATTAAAAAGTGGTATCGTGCCATCTCTAGTAAAGACCCTACAATAAAACAGAGAAACCCCCAACAACCAAATGACCCCACTTGAGCAAGCACTTGGCGACAGCGGGAAGGAAAAACTCCCTTTAAACAGGAAGAAGTTAGCAAACTATAACCACAGAATGTATGGATATGCTACACAAACACAGCTACATGCTAAGTAGTGCTTAGTAACTAACTACTAGGATATCACTTATATAAACTGCACAACAAACTGTACATTGGTCAGACAGCTGCATGGTTGAAAAGTCAGCTCAGTGAGTTGAAGCCTGAAGCCCTTATAATTAAGCCTTAATATTAATTTACAGGGAAGGTTAAAAAAGATTCCTCTATACAGTTGTAAAAAGCGGTAAAATTAACCCAGGGACCAAAACAATTTTTATACCAGGCTGTAATTATGGTTATTCCTCCAGTACAGTCATGCGTTTTAATATGGGAGTCCGTGGGGACCGACTCATTTTTGGAACCAACCTCAAGTATCTATTTCAGGATTGGCTTAATTTTTCAGCCCCAAAGGTTTACACTTGGTTTATTCAAACTTCTGGCACGAGGACGCTTTTTGCTCTGTGACTCTGAGTTAATTTTAAACTGTCTTTTATGAGTTTAGCTGTTATGATTACCGGGCTGCACTATACACTACACTTTGCAACACATTCACATACAAAGTCCATGGAGAATTGCCGAGTTCCAGCCTTCAGCTTCTTTGAATAAAAATTTAACTAAACTACAAGTTGAAACAGTCACAAGCTGACGCCTACACTCTCCAAACGCTTTATTAAAAAAGAAGAAGAAGAGCGTTTTCAGTGTATACAAGACTTACTGCCTCTGTGAAAGCATCGCTGTTCTGCTCCTCGTGAGCCTCAAGGAGTTTCTGTTAAAACAAAGAGATGTAGGTCACTCATAGAAACTGAATAGATTAAGGGAAGAAAGTAAGCCGCCATCCAGCTACCTTCAACAACTTGCATTCTCTGGAGTCGGAAAAAGCCGGGAACATCTCCTCATACTTCTCAACAGCGATCTACGGAGAGGCAAAGTTAAAATTCTTCCAGAATTCATCATCCCAGATCCTGAGAGTCACTCACGAAGGCGTAAACTCACCTTAGCGTTGAGCTCGTCAACGATGAAATGACAAAGAGCGGCTTTGAAGAAATACTCCTTGGCGCTGTATTTCAGCAGCGGGTTGTCCATCGTGTTGGCTCCAACCTGGATATAAATCCATATCATTCAACATTTATCAGAAATGTCAAAACTGAGTTACGAGCCTCATGCACAAATACAAAGCAGAGCACTGTGGACACACCTGCTCGTAGATCTCGATAGCCTTCTGGTACTGCTCCAACTGAGCGCAGTAAGCTCCCACTTTCAGCAGACACTTGTTGGCGGAACTAAGGACAGTGTGTAAACAGCACACAGTGAATCTAATGCAACCTGTATAACCATGAGGGCTGTTTGAAACCAGTGTTGCACAGTTCTCAAAAAGCGCTATGCTAAATTAGTTTCAAATGCTGATTTATAACGAGTGCGTCCAATGCCACAGTTTTGTGCAGTTCAGCCCACCTGGATAAGATTTGTTATTGGTTAGAGATTATTTAACAGCTGCTGATATTTTTAAACTAATACTGTTCCTGCTTTAATGGCTATCCTCTTTCTACTTGTGTAATGGATTGGACTATTGAACAAAGACTTCAGTAAACAGCTATGTGAGTGATCAATGCTTAACGCCAGTCAGCCACAACATTACAATCACAGACCGATGGAGGTGAATAACACTCGATCTTGTTTTGCTTGAATGTTCATGCAAAAAACAAGTATCTTAACAATCTTACTGCACCAGCTGGTAATGTCAGCTAAAGGGGAAGAAAAATCTGCAGTTCCTCTAGCTCTCTATTTATTAGTATGTTGCTTTGCACTTATCAGAAGATATCTGTCTGTGTGTTGCACCTGCACAATGTTTGAATGGAGCTTGCTAACAAAGCTTGCTGGGACTAGCTGGT